ACCCCCCCCCCAAGTCCAAACCCCTGCAAGCCAGCCCAGCTTGGGGCTGGGACCACCCCCTCCCTTTCTGAAGCCCCCCCCCCTCCCTGCAAGCCCCCTCCCGTCGCCAGGCCTCCTACCTCAAGGCATCAAGCATGGGCAGGAGGTTGAGGAGGGCCGTGTCCCCGGGGTCGCTGAACCACGACTTGATGGGGATGGCGTTATCTGCCGGAGAGAAAAGCAAGCCCCTCGTTCACCAACCCAAGCAGAGAGCAACGGAAGCAGCCAGAGCAGAAAGCCCGTCGGGCAGAACCACCTTCTGGGGTCACCCCGAGGCCATGCGGAGGGGTCCCCAGCCTGGGGGGAGCCTCTCCCACCAAACCTCCAGCAGAGGGGGATGCAAAGACGGCCCCTTCGAGGCCTGCGGACTTCCACTCCCCGTAACTTTCTCTTAAGAGACGGAGGGTATGCAGTGGATTTAATATAACTTGGCTTCAGAGAAAGGGGGCGGGGGGGAAAGAGCCACTGGGGAATTCTAGGAGTTGAAGTCCACAGGTCTTAAATCAGGGGGTCTCCAACCGTGGCCACTTTAAAGAACTCGTGGACTTCAGCTCCCAGAATTCCCCCAGCCAGCCAGGGAGGGTAACTTTCTTAATAGACGGAGGGAATGTAATATATCTTGACATCGGCAAAGGGGGGGGGGGGGAAGAGAGAGCTGGCTGGGGAATTCTGGGAGTTGGAGTCCGGAAGTCTTAAAGGGGCCTCATTCGCAGACCCCTTGTAAGGCCCAGAGAGACCACGTGCCCCCAAAGAATTGCTTACGGACACCCTCCCCACACCGAATTCTCCTCCTCTTCAGGGTGACCTTTTCTGTTCAAGTCTCCTTGACCGCACCTGTTTTTATTACTTTATTGACATCCACACAACTCAAGGTGGGAAACATCCCCTATTTCTCCTCCTCCTTTCTCTTCTCCCCCTTCCGATAATAAGCCTGTGATTTGGAGAAAGGGCCCGGCCCAAAGGCACCTAACCCGGCTTTCCATCCCTACGGTGAGACTAGAACTCACCATCTACTGGGGACTGGCTCATATTCAACCAGCCGGCTCCCCCCCCCCCCCCCGGGTGCATTTTCACGGAGAAGGTGAAACTAGAACTCTCCGTCTCCTAGTGATTGGCCCAAAGCCCACCCAGCCAGCTTTCCTCCTCCCCACCACCACCAACAACCCAGCAAGGTCTGGGTTGAGAATGTGACTGGTCCCAAGTCACACCCGGTTTTCACAGAGCGGGACTAGAACTCACCATCGCCCGGTTGATTCCGCTCAAAGTCACCCAGCCAGCTCCCCCTCCTCACACGTAACAACAACACCCAGTGGAGGTTGCCTGGATTGAGGAAGTGACTAGTCCAAAGTCACCCGGTTTTTCATGGGCAAGGAGAAACTAGAACTCTCCAACTCCTAGAGACTGTCACCCAGCTGGCTTTCACCTCTAAAACAGGACCAGAATTCACTGCCTCCCGGTTCCCTACCCGATGCCTTAACTACTATATCTACCCCCTCTTAAACCTCCTCCGTGCCTCCCACTCCCCAAACTCAAAAGCCCTCGGGATCCACTCAGTAATCACGATTTCTCTGCTCTTCTGGAGAAGATGATCTCCATTTCTTGGATCTTGCCGTGGGCCCCCGGTGGAGGCTGACCCCGAGGGAGGGGAGGGACAGCAGCCCACCGGGGGTGGGAGCGGGGCTCCGGAGGCGGTGGAGGAGGCTGGGGAAGTTGGGCAGTCGGAGGAGGACCCAGGCCCACCCCCCGTATCCATCCCAAGGGCACGCAGGCAGGGAGGAGGAGGAGGATAAGGGAGAGACGTGGTCTACTGGGGAGGAGAGGGCTTTGATCCTCTTGGCGGGGTGCAGGTGCGAGAACTGCTCCCAGCGTGTGTTATCTGTGGACGTCCTCCGGCCCTTATCTTGCCCGGTTTCTGTTGCTGTTTTTCCCCCGTCTTTGTGGGGGAGTTTTTTTTTGGGGGGTCTCCAGTCAAGGGCATTCGGAGCTTGGAAGCAAAGCGGAGGAATAAAAAGGGCCTCCGCCTGTTTTCCGTGACCGTGGATGACTCGAGATGCTTCTCATCACGGGGCGCGAATAGGAAATGACTTCCAGACCACAGGAAAAGTTTGAATCTGCCGCCTCCTCTTCCTCCTCCCTGTAAACCCCACTTCCCTCCCAGCGCTGATGTCGTTCCCTAGCTGGGTCAGGAAACACCTGCAGGAAAACCACCAAGCTCAGGAAGAACTAGGACCCCCACAGTCTTCCTCCTCCTCCTCTCCTTCCTTCCTTCCTTCCTCCTCCTCTCCACAAGCCCCCCTCCCTTCTAGCCCTGATGATGTTCCCTAGTTGGGTCATGCAACGGCTGCAAGGAGACCACCCAGCTCAGAGACCCCCCCAAGGACCCCACAGTCTTCCTTTTCCTCTCCTTCCTTCCCCTTTTCCTCCATTCCGCAAACCCCACTCCGTTCAAACCCTGGTGACAGTTACCCAGAGGGTGTGTGTGTGTGTGTCACGAAACAGTTCTGCAAGGAAACCGCCTGGCTCAAAGAACACCGGGGGGTGTGTGTGTGTGCACCCCACAAAACTTAATTTTTTTTAAATTAAAAAATAAAAGAGCATGGAAAAAGAACCCCCCCTCCCCCAAGGCTCTTCTTGCCTGGATGGCTCCTATAGGCTCCCGGGGAATTGTCCAAGATGACGATGCTGGACAGGTCATTGTGGACCACCGAGAGGTCTTTGATGTAGCTGCCCAGCTCCAAAGTGCAGTGCTGGTGGGGGAGGGAAGAAAAAACAAGAGGCAGGGTGAGAAAACAACAACGACAACAACAACAACGACAGCTGAGCGGGAAGGAGGGCAGCTCAGGAGCCCTGGCTGGGGTGGGGGCCCAGGTGAGGGGGAAGGTGTCCGTGTGGCCACTCACCTGCCTGTAGTATCTCCTCCTGAGGATGCTCCTGTTGTTGTCTAGCTTGTCTGCTACAGCCGAGCCGTAGATTTCCATGCTAGCTGTGAAGACCACAAGCTCGTACCACTGGCTCACCTGTGAGAGGAGGAGGAGGAGGAAGAGGAAAGGGAGGAGGAGGAGAGAGAGGGAGAGAGAGGAGGAGGAAGAGGAGGAAAAAAAGAGGGCTTTTCTTAGAGAGATTCATTCCCAGAGACTCCCAAAAGACCAAGGGAGGACAACTATGGCAACTTTAAAGATAGATAGATAGATAAATTTATCGTCATCGTACTCAGGAACCTGAGAACAATGAAATAAGGTGCTCTTCCACAACGTACAACTGAACAACACCAAAAGACATATACAAATAACAACGTAAAACAAATTAAAACAAGTAACAGTTAAAAACTGTACAACCAGGATATGTATGTATGTATGTATGTTAAGACCACCAGATTCATAACCCTGCATTTAACCTGATCACAGCACTTGGGTAAAAGCTACGTTTAAATCTACCTGTCCTGGCTTTCAGCACTCTATATATCGTCTTCCTGATGGTAGGATCTCAAACGACGAGCGGCCTGGATGCGAAGGGTCTCTTCAAGATCTTTTGTGTCTACATCCCATGTTATACAAATCCTCCGAGGAGGGAAGAGGACATCCGCTGATCTTTTGGGGCCTTTTTATCACTCTTTTTATCACTCTTTAAAGCGTGGCTGTTTGAGGAATTCTGGGAGTTGGAGTCCCCAAGTCTTAAAGGGGCCACGTTAACACCCCCCCCCTCTCCTCCCCCGGCTCCGCAACTTTTAAACTGTGTGGGCTTCCAACTCCCAGAATTCCCCAGCCGGCCCACGCCTGGATTCATCCGCACAATGCAGGTGGTCCTCGACTTATAACCCCCAATGGAGGCCAATGGACGTTTTAGGTGGCTTCAGTGAGAAACTGTTTCAAAGGAACGATTGCCCCGGTTTTTAGAAGTTTTCCGGACCCGGTTAAACTGCGGCGCCATCATGAAGGGAATCCGGCTGCTTCCTGCATCAACTTGGCTCCTTGGGTCGCAAAAAAGGGCCGTCCTGCGACACCTACACCCCTACCCCCTCCGGGACGCTGCGGCCGTCATAACTCCAAGTCACTTGCCAAGCAAGCCCGAACTTTGACCACGGGGATAGTTGTTAAGGGTGAAAAAGTGGTCCTTAAGTCCCGTTCTTTTCCCGTGCTGTTGTCACCTTTGAATGGTCCCTAAACGAAGGGTTATAAGTCGAGGGCGGCCTGGAAACCCGGTTGTTAAGCAAATCCAGATTCCCCGCCTCCATTCTGCTTGTCTGAAGGCCGCAAACGGGGACGCTGCGGCTGTCATAATTTGTTTTTTCTTTGAAGTTTTTAATGTGTAAGTTTTCCTTTGACATAGATACAAGTGCTTAATAGTAGACAGTGAGATTGTCAGAGTCAATTTACAAAAAATATACAGTCCTAGTAGCAATAACTTTCTTTGCTTATGTAGAATTCCTGTTCTTCCCATTTCTGAGTTCTACCGGTGTTATCTAACCGTGGGCGGAAACAAACAACCGAGGCCAACTCATAAAACATTCCTAGGCCTGTTTTAGTAGTTGCCATAATTTTTTTTTAAAAAAGGGGGAGGAAAAAACTCTGGGAGGGGGAGGGAGGAAGAGAGTGAAAGAAAGAAAGACAGAAAGAGAAAGAGACAGACAGATAGAAAGAGAAAGAATGAGACACACACACACGCACACTTACAAAGGAAGGAAGGAAGGAAGGAAGGAAGGAAGGAAGGAAGGAAGGAAGGAAAGAAAGAAAGAAAGAAAGAAAGAAAGAAAGAAAGAAAGAAGGAAGGAAGGAAGGAAGGAAGGAAGGAAGGAAGGAAGGAAGGAAGGAAGGAAAGAAAGAAAGAAAGAAAGAAAGAAAGAAAGAAAGAAAGAAAGAAAGAAAGAAAGAAAGAAAGAAAGAAAGAAGGAAGGAAGGAAAGAAGGAAGGAAAGAAAGAAAGGAAGGAAGGAAGGAAAGAGAGAGAGAGAGACGGAGCCTGGGCCACCCGTCAGCCCTCTGATGGAGAGTCAACAGCTCCCAGGACATGATGCGGAAGAGGAGGAACATCTGGGTCTGACACGCAGAAGGCAGAGGAGAGGAGAGCAGTGGAAATCTATGGGCCGGCCCTCAGGACAGGAGAGCCACCGCTGCTAGCAAACCCCACCCTAGCTCTGGGGATAAAAGGCGGGGGGGGGGAGTAGAAGAGGTCTGGCAGACAGCTATTTATCTTCCGGCCGGCCAGACTTGTTAGCCTGCGGTGAGAAACCTTTTTTTTTTTTTGGCCAGGGCTGCAAATTAGATTAGATTATTAGATTCCTAATAAGACTATTAGATTCCTAATAAAGGAATCTTTTGAGTTCCTGTCGGAGGGTTTGTCGTGTGTTTCGTGTGTGTTCGAGGGGAACCTTTGCATCCAATAATCAAGGCACTGTCGTCAGAAACACACACACACACACACACAATCACACACACACACACACACACACGCAGAGCGTGCTTACCACTTCTAGAAAAAAGTCAACGTGTGGCCTCTTATGTACAAAAAAGCGGACAGGATGCTTATCTATGACGACCTGGGGAAAGGAACGGTCATTAGAAAAAGGAACAGTCAAAGAGCCATGAAGTGCACGGACAGCCAGCACTGACAGAACCCAGGAAATTGGGTAACCAAATTACACCCATTTCCCAGAACCAAACTACTGAGGGCACCAGGTAAACCTACGGGACTGAAGTTAGCTAAGGCCTACCGTCCAATCTGGCAGGAAGAGAAGGGAGAGCAATAGGACTTATAGATCACTTCACGGTGCCTTGCAGACTGTTGTCAACTCGTAAGTGTTGTACCTTTTGACTCTGGACAAATGTACCTTTTCTTTTATGTGCCCTGAGAGCTTATGCACCAAAGACAAATTCCTTGTGTCCAATCACACTTGGCCAACATTCTATTCTATTCTATTCTATTCTATTCTATTCTATTCTATTCTAT